CATTACTTGATAGAATCATGATTATACTGTTTTTAATTGTACATGCCCCTTGAGGACCCTTGATTGGTGAATAAACATAGCATATTCCATATATTAAATAAAGAATATTAATGTTTCAGACTTGAGGCATATGATAGAAACAATAATTTTGGTGGTGGTGAAAGAGAGAGAGAGAGTATAGCATGGAAGTACCCAGTTATGAGAAGTATAAAGACATAAATAAAGATACTGTGATCACAAGAATAAGAGAGGAGGCTGTATGTGCATACTTGGGAAAGATGAACAAAGATATTGATGCAAATGTAAAATACATTAATGAAAGCAAATTTTTAAAGTATGCAAGATTGGCGTGTGAGGATGGACTATTCTTTGTGAAAGCAGAGTGCAAGGCACAGATGAAGAAAGCAGTGTCGTACAAGATTGATGCAAGTTTTGATGTTGATGGGTGTGTTGTTGAATGTCAGTGTGAATGTGCCGTGGGAATAGATCCAGTAGCAGCATGTAAACATGTGTGCTTTTGTTTGCTCTACAGAAGTTTGGTGAAAGTGGTGATTTGATCACAGAAGAAACTTGCACTCAAAATTTGCAAACATTCTATCATGTTAAACCTTACAAGGGAAGTCCAATTAAAGCAAAAGAGCTCCCTTTAGCAAATGATGCCGACGTCATTTATGACCCAAGGCCACGTGAGTTTAGGAACATGCCTGGATATCAGGACACTTTTAGAAATGTTTGGTTAAATAATCCATCTGTTAACAAATTACCTGTTTCCCAATTGTTCCCTATTGCAAACACAGTTGGCATTGATTCTGATCATGATTATTTTCAAGAAAAACTTTCAGAAATGTGGCTTAAAAATTCTAACATTACAGAAATATCTTGTGAGGAAATAATGAAATTTGAAAATGAAACCCGTGGCCAAAGCACCAATCCTCTATGGCAGTCTGAACGGTGCAAGAGAATTCACTCATCAAATTTTGGAAGAATCTGCAAATGTACAGAAAAAACTGATATGAATAAGCTTGCTATTCGTTTGACTAAATATGTCCCACAAATCCATGACCCATCCATACTTCACGGCAAATGCTACGAGTCAGTAGCCATACAAAGCTTTGAAGAAAGAAGTGACGTAAAAACCCAAAAATGTGGCACATTTGTGTCAAAGTCCCACCCATTTCTTGCTGCATCACCAGATGCATTAATTGATGAAAAGTCAATTGTTGAAGTAAAATGTCCATTCACTGCAAAAAAAGAACAAATATCTGATGGAACTGTTTCATTTTTGATTGATTGATTGTATGTTGTTTTACGTCCCATCCGAGAATTTTTCACTCATAGAGAGACGTCACCATATACCGGTGAAAGGCTTCACATTTTGACCTTTACTCGGCACTCAGGGCCATTGAGCAGTGAGGGTTCTTTATCGTACCAACGTCTGCCGTGACACGGGGCCTCGGTTTTTAAGGTCTCATCCGAAGGACACGCATATTTCACTTCAAAGTGCCGAGCGCATGGCGAAGGAACATTTGCTACCCATTTTTTATCGACTTAGGTCAGTCGCGGCCGAGATTCGAACTCACGACCTCCCGATCACGGAGCGAGCGCTCTACCGACTGAGCTACCGTGAACGGTGTTTCATTTTTGAAGACTGTAAATGGTTCATTAGAACTTGACTCATCACATGATTAATTTGATCAAATTCAGGAGCAGCTTTTCTGCACAGATAGAACCAATTGCATTCTTGAGGTGTACATATTCAAAGATCTCAAAATTATTCCTGTGCCAAGAGACCAGAAATGAATGAAATTTTCAATCGACATTATTGGTGTTGACATGGTTTGACACGAAGTATCTGTATATACTGCAGCAGAGTTTTCACATGAGCTGTCTGTATATTTGAAACTTTCTCCAATTGATTCACAGGTAGTTTCAACAAAACTACCCACATTTGACATTGATCAGCGTAATCCTCATAAATAATTTCTTTAGGGCTACTACATGCTTCCTCCACTTTCTTTTCACGCAGAATGCGTCTCTGCTTTCTCTCATCAAGTGACTTTGATGTGTTTGGACTGTTCCATGGAAATATTGAAGGCACTGCATGTGGCTTCCTTTGCCTTCTTAGAGGATCAGCACCTAAAAAATCCATTCAAACTAACAAATACAATTAGGCAGTATTACACATGTACAGACTTACATGTACTGATTATATTGCATCTCTTAGAGTCAAGTTATGTTGACACACGTCAATTTAAAATTATAAAAGATAAAAACAGTACTATTTCGTAGACGTAGCTTGAGTGTATCAAAATTTGATTATTGTGGTCATAGCATTTCTTTATATGATAATGGAGATGCAAAAATATCTTATCCTGTGAGGTATGTCTTTGACTTTCTTCGGACAGCCTTCCTTTCATGATTTGTTGTTTGGATATGCTGATTTCAGAGGCCAGTAATCTGTCAGTGTGTTGTCTGCATTTGTAGTCTCTTCAGAGTTCCCGCAGTTTCATATGACATATCAAAATAGACATGACAATGCCAACTTTTTATAATTAAAAAAGAAATTGGCAATTTCATTTCATATTTTGATTGACGTCAAATTTCTAATCAATATCTGTTCCCTGAAGTTTAAATTTAACAGCATGTAACATGAAATAATTTTTTTGAAAAAAAAAAAAAAGATAAACAAAAACAATTTGAAATACTGTGGTTATTTCTATGAGATTCTATATTATAATTATTATCTCTGTGTGAATCTATACAATTATAATTCACAAATAAAGTCAGGGCACTTGCGCAGCACAGTTAAGGATACAAAAAGGGGGTGGAGCCTAATTTGTACGGGAAATTTTAACTATGACATCATACAAAACCAACAATTCTTTAAAATACTACAAAATGAAATTATTTGCTATTTTAAACTATAGGAAACCATCAAACTACATCTAAACTTACTATAACATGCTGTTACGTCCTTAGTTAAATTCCACAAAGCAAGGTATAAACAAGTCAGTGATCACTTGTCGATGTGACGTCATTTAGTAAAACTTGACGCAGTTTGTATGCAGAGAGGCGGATCAAGAAATATTTTCACAACGAAAAATTTATTCTATAATTAAATAAAATATTTTTTAAAGATATTTAAGAGGTCATTAACTTGGATGCAATGTCTTCTTTATGGTTTTATTCATATATATTCCGTATATTTTCTATTTAATTGATACTGCCGTATATTTGTATGCAAGTACATCGGAGGGTAATGTTAGGGTCTTAATAAATCGATCTAGAGCAAGGGCATACACTCAATGGATCAAAGTAAGCTTTTACATATAAACTCTAAAAGTATTAAGGTATCTGAAAAATGTTGCGATCCTGGTGAAATCTTGAAAATGAATTAATTATATCTATATTTAATGCCGATGACCAGCAAAAAATACAGAATGCGGTCATATAAATTTGATTTTAACAATGAAAGAGCAGAATCTATAGAGGATCGCAGCACTTTTCAGAAACTAGGATGCCTGTTGAAAATATTCATACTCTAAATTTAGAATTTTAGCTTGATTATGCCCTTGCACTAGTAAAATTTATAGGTGACCTCTATACTGCGGGTATATGTGCTATATCACGTGACTGCCGCATCACGTGACAAGTCTAAATATAAAATCTTATCGTCCTCAATATGTAGTTATTAACCATAATTATATTTGTCGGATATCAATAAATTACTGAAAAGAATCGCTATACTGATTAAGAATATATTTTTAATCACAAAAGTTGCCGATATTTCCATTGCGCACCTTAACTGTACTGCGTGTGTTAACAAGACTTTCTGACAATTTTGCAAATTTAGGAAATTCGGGTAGTAAAACGACAGTATTGCTTATGTAATCATGAATTAAGGAAGCGATTGCAAGGCGTCACGTGATCAACTTATGTGATGTTTAAAAAAAGAACGTTTACTGTAACCATTTCCGGAATAAGAAGCGTGACATGATTGCGCCAATAACAAAAAGTCCCCGTGGCAATATTTCATGAACAGAGAAAGAATAGGACGTGACGCTGCTGAGTGTTGGGAAGCGTCGACGCAGAATTTTTCATCTACGTGTTTTGTTTTGACACGTCTAGCTTTTGTGTATATAGCTCTGAACATTGAAATCTCACAGCACAGTTAAGGCTGCAATAAGATGGCGGGGCCTAATTTTTACGGGAAATGCTTACTGTGATATCACACAAAAATGCATCCTCTTCAAATTACCACAAAATGAAATGATACGCTATTTTAAACTGTTGGATAGCTTTAAACTACATCAATACTTACTATTGCATGTATTTTTGTCGTTGGTTAAATCCCACACAGCAAGAACGAAGCCAGAGAAAGAGTGAAGAACCCCACCGTGTTGATCTTGATGTTAATCTACAAGAGAAGAGCTTCAATGATGCACATTGCAGTTGTAAAGCTGGGTAGTTAAACGATTGATGTTCAGTGTCTTTATTTTATTAAATTTTTGCTTTGTTTACATGTTAGATTTAAGGTTATATTGTTCTGGTTCACCTCTTGAAATCTTTGTTATCATGCAGTTCCAATTTTTTTTTCCTCTTTTGAACAAAGTTTATGCATGCAGTTGGCATCTTCAAAGGATGTCGACATAAAGTATCATCCGAATGAAGATTCTGAGGTCTGTATTTTTTTTTTAATTTAGACTTATTTTTTTTTTATTTGTGGTGAGAGACAGAGAATTATTCTATTTTGAGAGAAGAGGGAGAGAGAAATTGTATTTTGATATATATATATATGTGATACAAGAGTGAGGGAATACTAGTATAATACCTATCTATTTACACATTTCTGTCATTAAGTCTAAAATTCATGTGGTTTTGTTCTTATACCATGGTAATACTGTACTTTAATTTTAATACACTTCATGTTACTATGTGTAGTGTATTTATATGAATTTCTCACCATCATCAAACATATATAGCAGTAATAAAAAATTATCTGTTGTAGGATGTCTGGTCAATGTGCACATGTCTTGGCAGTTATCAATATACTGGAGCAGTGGAAGATCTCTGGGTATAAGGAGGTTCCATCAGAAATTTCTTCAACCAGTTTGCCCCAGCAATGGGACAAACCTCGTGGTGAGAAAATAAAAGCTGAACCTGTTTCGACAATGATTATATCCCGTCCAACAAATCTTGAGAGAGAAAGAAAGCCTGTGATAGCATCCTATATTGATACCAGGTAAATGTCATTCCAAGCATGAATGCTTTTTATTTTTCAGAACATGTGATGTATGATAGCATTATGACTATCACTTTATTTGGAATAGGTATTGACAAAGTATGTACAGTAAAACACACTTATCAGATTGGTTGATTGTATGTTTTTTTATGTCCCATTCGAGAATTTTTCAGTCATTTAGAGACATCACCATATACCGGTGAAGGGCTTCAAATTTTGACCTTTACTCAGCACTCAAGGCCATTGAACAGTGGGGGATCTTTATCATGCCAATACCTGCCATGACACGGGGCCTCGGTTTTTAAGGTCTCTAATTATATCTTCATAATGAAGCAAAATCATCCAACCCTGTCACTTTGTTATAAGTGTGTTTTACTGTAAATACAAAACCTGTAGGAGTATTCTATGCAAGTGTTCCAAACTATGTTTATAAAACTGGTAATACCAGGATTGTCAAATTCTGTTAATGATTATGTACAGTGTGATTTTTTTCAGGAAGATTGACATAAATTCAGATGATATTCAGGAACTGAAGAAATTGAAGCAGAGTCCTATTTCATACCTGGTGACAACAACAAACTGGACTGTAAATACTGTAAATGCTCCACTTGGAGAGCAGTTGATTGGTTCAGCTCTTAGTTATCATGTGAGTATATTTCATATCCACTTAAAACTTCATTGTAAAAATTATATACCTTATAAAAGAAAGCAAGGACAAAAAAGCAAGGTTCATCAGTGTTTTTATCTTGAATCAAAAAATTCATGAAGTTTGTCAATAAACAACAAGTTAACCATATTTGATCAATGATGCTGAAAAAAGACAAACTAATTTTCCCTGCTAGGATCTTGAATTGCTTTATGCGAGCAATAGCTCGTTCAACATGAACTCGATGTTTAGCTATTTTAACTGTTTCTGTAACTTCATCAGCTTTCATCTGTGATGCACAGGATGCAAATGGTGGTATATTTAGTTTGAGTCCAACGGCTTCGATCTCTTTCTCAATATGGAAACCTTTGTCAACCATTATTCCATCGCCATTCCGTAGCTTTCCACACTTTATAAGGTCTGAGAGAAGTTTAAGAAAACCACTTTTCTCTGTGATGTCTTTATCAGATATTGACTTAGAAAACAACATGGAGGAAAATATCACAGAACCTCGTGGATCAATGCCAACTAGTCCCTTGAAAGTTGTGCTCGATTTGTAGTCCGAATAGCACTGGCTTTGGCGATGAAGAGAACTTGGTTTTTGTACCTTTAGCTCCGTACAGTCAATGATAACAAGGGTATCTGGAAAGTCTTTCTCGTAACTCTCTGGCATATTTTCAATTAAAGTATTTCGATGTGGCCAAATATCTAAACTACCAAGTCTAAAAAATATGTAGCTGATCCAGTGAGTAAATATTGCACTAGAGTCTTGTGAAGATACATTAAACAAATGTGAAATATGTTGAAAATCAAAGTTTTGTCTGAGTTTAATCAAAACTAGTAGAAGTTGGTCTACAGTTGATAGAGATTTGGCTCCTTTTACTGTTTTACCCCACTTAATAGGATCTTCATCTGTTGGAGCTAAAAACTTGTACACACTATCAAACTGATCCTAAGAAAATCCTGTGTAATACTTGTAATCCTTTTCCTTGAGCTTGTGACACCCAAAACACCTTTCCTGCAACTTTTGGAGTTGTAGAAACTGTTGCTGAAATTCAGAATTGTTTTGAAGCAGCTTTTCTCTCTCTTCCACCAATGCCTTATTTTCTGCAACAACAGCCAAAAGGTTCAGTGGATAAAATGTACCACCTGCAAAAAACATATATGATGTGTATAGATTTTATTTTATTTAAACCTAGCTGTGTTCTAAAATGTAACTGAGTACATGTATTTTGTACAAGCTATACCCAATATCTGAATAGGCTTTTTCAAACTAACGTGTACATACAGTGGTATTTAACAGCCCTCTATACACTGCACACTAAAGAGTTCTGATTTTGTGGTATTTTTATGCAGATAGAGCGATCTGTCCTTTGATCAAGAATAAAATAAATTGGAATATACAGTTTATTACTTAATTTGTGATCAAATCAAGCATTCATAACACTTTAATAGGTCAAGAGGAATAGATAGAACAATTCATTTGCAGGTATTTTGTCCACTTAAGTAAACAACACTGATTTCTGTTCATCAGTACTTCATTGTCTTTGAACATTTTTCCTGGGGGTAAATGCAAGGCACCCATGTTGAAAATGTGATAGATAAGCTCAATACTTACACCTTTACACACTATTATTTTCTCAATGTCCAAAAAATATTTTCCTCTAGTGTACAGAGGGTCCTTAATCAATATTCAATTATTTTATTCAGGCACCACTCATTCAGCCAATCACAAAACCCCGAACTGCATGGAGTTGTGGAGATACAGTATTTCCCAAGGCCTTACCTTCCTGTGATCTCCAGAATATTCAACAACTTGCTCATGAATGGAAAGACCTAAATTTAACTTTGAGTGAAGCCATTGAGTTAGAAAAATCAACTCTCTCTCAAAGTTTTGACCAAAGATGAAATATGGAACGGAAAAAAAGAATTACTGCTTCCAATTTTGGACTCATAATGAGAAGGAAAAAGGATATAAATGAGACATTTTTGAAAAATACCTTTCAGAAAAAAGAGTTTACATCATCATCTACATCCTATGGGAAAGCAAATGAACATGTAGCTAAACAAATGTATATAAGAAAAACAGGAAATCACCTTCATGATGTAGGCTTGATTGTTAATCCAGATTTGCCCTTTCTAGGTGCCACACCTGATGGTATAATGTGTGAGGAATCAACAACAGCCATAATTGAAATCAAGTGCCCCTATTCTGTCAGAGACATCTCTATTTGTGAAGCTTGTGAGACAAGAAAAGATTTTTTCCTCCAAAAAAATGGTGATTTGTATTCTTTAAAACATGGGCATGCTCACTGGTATCAAATTCAGGGTCAACTGCTCATATCTGTGGCCCCTTTTTGTGACTTTATTACTTACACCAAGCAAGACTTTTATGTAGAAAGAATTTTCCCCACACATCTACTATGGATGCCTTGATCCAAAAATTGTCCGAGTTTTATGTACATCACTTTAAGCCATTCATGCAAAAATGATTCTGATTGATTGTTTGACATTTTTGTAGAAGCATGTTTATATTTTTGAGATCAAATAAACAACATTATCCTTCATACTGTAATTCTGATTTCAGATGGTACCACTTGAATGCATAATGTAAAACATATTCACATATTTAAGATATTACCTGAATTATCATCTGGTGTTGTTTCGATAGCTGAACTACACAGAGACTGAACTGAGGGTTCCAAGGGTTGTGGCATGGTACTACTGCACATATCAGTCATAATGTTCACATTCCTTTAAATTGAAACAATGAAATTAAAGCATGACTTTCAAAGAAAATTCAGTACATAAAACATGAAATGTACTTAAACACTTATTTAGAACTTACTCAACAGCAGCTGTGTCTGCTAGAATTTTTCGCATCGACGAACATCCATGAGAAGCATTAATATTACTAAAGCTGATATGCGATCTTTTGGTTGGTAGTTTACGCCTTGGTGTTATTGAGTCACAGCTGGTGGCAAGTGCAGACACTGGATCTGGGTATCTTTCAGAGGGGATCCCATCAACAAAATGCTATTAAAAAGAATTACAGCAAATTTAGTCATATTCATATCATACCAATATTATTAAATCATATTGCCATTAAAAACTTAAAGATGTGATTAATATTTGCATGCAACTTGAGATCTTTAGACTTGTTATAATAGTGACAGTTTTATCTGTAAAGTGTTGTTTCATATGAAACAACTCGAAATTGAAACGCTGACCCAGTTTATCAATTTTCTAGTAACTGTCTTTTTGGATAAATAGTTATAGATCTGTGTATGTATGTATGTATGTATGAATGAAATAAGCCAAAAGTCAATACATATACATGCACATGTACTATACTTTGATAAATTATATAAGCTTTAAACTTTTATTGGAAATATTCTATACCCACTGCATATGCATTGGCACTCCCCAGCTTATAGCATAGAAGATATATATATATATATATATATATATATATATATATATATATATATATATATATATATATATATATATATATATATATATATATATAACCGACTCCAAACACTTAGCGGCAAATCGTTACTGTAGGCACTTAGCGGCAACATCGGCTTTTTCAATTAAATGAAGTAATTGTTTATGCTTTTATCAGTTGAAATGATTAGGTATCTTGATTTCAAACAAATAAAAATCATTTGTGAGAAAATTAAGCGAAGGAATAAAAAAATATTCATCATATATACTTCGTGTTTGCCACTAAGTGCCAAGTGCTGTTTTCAAACTTGATGCCTCTAAATTCTTCCATCACTTAGCGGCATAGAGAAATTAGAAAGGGACAAAACTTCTCCAACCTTCTTGAAAACTCACTGTATATCTAATATTTTTTAGAGTTTTCTAATTATATTGTGAATTAATCATTTGTTTCTGTTGTTTTACCTAATATCTTTACTCGTGAAAATGTAAAAAAAAAATCAATTATTTTGCTCAACTCCAATAATATATCCTTAAAAAAAAACAAAAACAAAAAAAACATTTTGACATTTCTCTGCAGAGAGACGACAATGTAGATGTACGTTGTTTTAATTGTATAATTTTAAGCAAGGCCAACAAACTTTGATAGTTTTTTCAATTTTATAAATGCAACGTTTTTTAATTAACGTAATTTTTTGTTTGAAAAGCGTACAGGTTTACTAATGTATACTCATATATTTTCTAAGAAAGATAAATAACACTTCCATTCATCTACTGTTAATCTCTGTACAAACAATCATTTATTACTACGCCGTTATAGTAATACATTTCATGAAAAAAGTATTTTTCTTCGCTGGTATTTTACTTGTTTGCATTGCTTTTTCAAAACTTTATTGTTCTAAAAATAAACCAAAACAAAACTGAGTTACGCCCCGTCTCGAAATTAGGTTGAGGAGCGGATTTACATAGGCGTATATGTACAGTAAAATTGTACTTGGTAACATCTAAAACGCTGATTTGATATTTCATTTGTTCACAATTGCCTTGAACTTTGTATGTTCTATTAGAAAACATTATTGAGGTCTTGTGAACTCTTACGGCTTATATACATTTTTTCCCATAGAAAATGAAAATTATAAAATGATATTAATTTAAATTTAGTTTAAACTTTCTTATTATAGGAAAATTAAAAGAGTTTGGAAGCATATTATTTTTATCTTGATCGAAATATCCTTTTTTTATGATGTCTATTCTTATTGAACATATAGTGTTCAGCGGTCGTCAATTAATCTACCGTGTGTTTTTGGTTTTCGATTTCTTTAAAATTATCATATTTTTAACTTCTTCTCCGAAATCTTAACAAATTTTACTATAAAGATTATTGATAAATATGTGATAAAAAATTTTCAGTAATTAACGTTCACAATGTTTATTCAGGTACTTTTCAGAATCATACATTTTAAAGATTTATTATATCAGGATCCAGATTATTACAGAACTTTGAAATCTTTGTTTATACGGACGATATAATGTCTTTGAAAACAAATTCAAGTATAACCTATAATTTTGTCGTTTTATGTTAGACGTGTATCATACAAATTGTAAGGTCTTCGATTGATATTTTAATTTTTAGTACGGAATATTCTTTCTATTAGTACTGATCAATGCATAGAACTCATATAGCAGGTGTATCTTGTCCACTCCCTTAGGGCTGCGAAAATTCTGAGGCATCAAGTTTGAAAACAACACTTGGCACTTAGTGGAAAACAAACGATATATATGATGAATAAATTTTAAATTCTTTCAGTAAATTATCTTATAAATGTTCTTTATTTATTTGAAGTTAAGATACCTTAACATAACAAGTGATAAAAGTATGAAATTTTACTGAAATTAATACATTTTGACATTTTCTCTGCAGAAAGACGACAATAAAGACGTTGTTAAATTTGTATAATTTTAAGCAAGGCCAACAATTTTTGATACTTTTTTAGTGTTATAAATGAACCGACCTATTAACAACATTTTTTTTTTATAAGCGTACTGATTTACTCATGTATTTTCTAAATGAACTCTTCATTTCATTTTTGTTAATTTCTGTAGAAATCTTTTATTACTTCGCATTTATAGTAATGAGATTCATAAAAAAAAAAGATCTTCGTTGATATACTACTTGTTCACATGGATTTTCGAAAACATTTTAATTGTTTTTGATTATAAAGTTGAGTTAATAATTTAATTGAAAAAGCCGATGTTGCCGCAAATACAGACGATATGCCACTAAGTGCTTGGATTTGATTGCATGAATATGTATACGTCTAAATTCTCGCACTTTTCTGATTATAATGAGAATCAATCATTCATGAGTGTTGTCTAAGATTTTACCATTTCTAATAAAAAAGTGAAAAAAGATTAGTCATCTCTTTCTTCCATTTATTATATAACGTTTTCTTTTTATTTAAGACATCCTGTAATTTTCTCCGTAGACATGAAAATAACGACAAAGTTTAAATTATATAACTTTAAGAATGGCCAACAATTTTTTAATACTTTTTCAATGTTATAAATACATCGTTCTCTTACCAACATATTTTTTAAAGGGTACAGGTTTACTTTTTTTTTTCAATTAAACTCTTCCGTTCATTTTTTGTTTACTGTTTTAGAAACAATTATTTATTACATCACCGTTATAGTGATGCTATTCATAAAAAAATATTGTTCTTCGCTGATATACAACTTGTTTACATGGCTTTTTCAAAACATATAGTTGCTTCTGATTATTATGTTAATAATTTAATTGAAAAAGGCGATATTGCCGCTAAGTGCTTGGTTTCGGTTCAATAAAAATATATACATTTAAATTCTCGCATTTTCCCGATTTTAAAGAGAATAAATCGTACGTGAATGTTGTCTTAGCTTTTACCTTTACTTAAAAAGTGAAAAAAGTGAGAAAAAAATCAGTTATCCTTCAACTCAACTTATTTTGTAACATATTCTTTTGATTTGAAGACATCTTGACATTTTCTCTGTAGAAAGACGACAATAAAGACGAAGTTTAAATTATATAATTTAAGCAAGGCCAACAATTTTTGATGCTCTTTTAATATTATGAATTCACCGTTCTGTCATCAACATTATTTTTTTTTGAAAAGCATACAGGTTTCCTAATTTATTTTCGAATTGAACTCTTCCATTCATTTTTTGTTAATTTCTTTAGAAAAAAAATCTTTTTTCTTACGTCGTTATAGTGATGTTATTCATACAAAAGTTTTGTGCTTGCCTGATATACAACTTGTTTACATGGAGTTTTGAAAACCTTATAGTTGGTTTTGATTATCAAGTTATAAATTTAATTGAAAAGGCGATGTTGCCGCCAAGTGCCTATACAGATGATATGCCGCTAAGTGCTTGGTTTCGGTGAAATAAAAATATATACTTCTAAATTCTCGCACTTTTCGGATTATAATGAGAATCAATCATCGTGATCGTTGTCTTAGCTTTCACCTTTAACTACTGAATAAAGTGAAAAAAATCAGTTATTCTTCAACTCAACTTATTATGTAACATACTCTTTTTTTTTTTGAAGACATATTGACATTTCCTCCGTAGAGAGACAACAATAAAGACGTCGTTGAATTTGTATAATTTTAAGCAAGGCCAGCAATTTATGATACTTTTCAATTTTATAAATGCAAAGTTTTCTTATCAACATTATTTTTCTTGAAAATCCTACAGAATTACTCATTTATTTTCTAATTAAACTCTACCATTCATTTTTTGCTGTATTTTTAAAGAAATAATTATTTATTACATCGCCATTATAGTAATGCAATTCATAAAAAAGTATTCTTCTTCGCTGATATACAACTTGTTTATATGCCTTTTCAAAATTAGAGATGGTTTTGATTATTAAGTTGAGTTATCAATTTAATTATAAAAGGCGATTTTGCCGCCAAGTGCCTATACAGCCGATATGCCGCAAAGTGCTTGGTTTCGGTGAAATAAAAATATATACTTCTAAATTCTCGCACTTTTCGGATTATAATGAGAATCAATCATCGTGAGTGTTGTCTTAGCTTTCACCTTAAATTACTGAATAAAGTGAAAAAAAATCAGTTATCCTTCAACTCAATTTATCATCTAACAAATTCTTTTTATTTGAAGACATATTGACATTTTCTCCGTAGAGAAACGACAATAAAGACGTCGTTTAATTTGTATGATTTTAAGCAAGGCCAGCAATATATGATATTTTTCAATTTTATAAATGCACCGTTTTCTTATCAACATTATTTTCCTTGAAAATCCTACAGAATTACTCATTTATTTTCTAACTAAACTCTTCCATTCATTTTTTGTTAATTTCTCTTTCAATTATTTATTACATCGCCGTTATAGTGATATCGTGATATAGTGATGAAGCTATCCTTCAACTCAATTTATTATGTAACATATTCTTTTGATTTGAAGACATCTTGACATTTTCTCTGTAGAAAGACGACAATAAAGACGAAGTTTAAATTATATAATTTAAGCAAGGCCAACAATTTTTGATGCTCTTTTAATATTATGAATTCACCGTTCTA